CCATGAAGCTGCCACTGGAGATAGACATGTTGAAACTTTACTGGTATAGGTCACAACCATTGGTGATGCACAGATTAACAGAAATATATTAAATTAATATGTAAGAGTTAGCCAATCAGAAGCTAGAGCTAATGTGCCAAGCAGTGATTTAATTAATAGAGTTTCTGTATGATTATATAGAGGCTGAGCAGCTGGGAACAAACAAGTGTCGCCATATAACAAATTGGCACCAATGTGGCTATCTAAATCCACATAAAACCTGAGAGGGCTTAGAAAGAAATTCTAGACACAAATATACCGAGCTTGACACAGCTTCTTGCTGTTTGCTGGCAGTGGGCCACAACTTTTTTAAGAGAGATTTTCCTAATTCAAAGGTAGCAAAAAAAGCCATGCCATTTTGAAATACTGGTTTTCTGGGCTGTGTTGTCAGCATGACCTCTGGCTCTTTCAGGAAACAGAGCATTTGGATGGGGTTTGTGACAAGCACGCTGCGACTTGGTTGATGGCAATGTGGAGTGGTTTTTGTGCCTGAAAGTGGGGCATGTATGGCTCTTGGAAGCAGTGAGCAGCTTCACCATTTTGGAATTGGCATGGCACCAAGTAATACCGCATGTACCATAGTAATGTCACAGCTTAGCTACTCAAGAGCTTGGCATTTTAAGAAGCGTTTCTGGTCATAAAATAATTACAAATATGCAATAAAGACAAATCCAGATTTTAAAAAATACCTATAAATGTGTCACAGTGTTGGATAAATGTATATTGGCTAGAGAGAGAGAAGAAAAAGAAATAATAGACAGTAATAAAAGAAAAAAAGACAGTAATAAAAAGAAGTAAATGGTTTAAAAAAGGTAAAGTCTTTAAAGAAACAAGTATAGACAGTCACAAATTAAAAGGAGTAAACAAAGAATAAGCCATGTAAAGATGGAAAATTCACAGAGAGTTGGGATTATGTGTATTATTGTTTTTCTTTTATTTTTATTTTGACTATGAAGGAGCTAAGTAGAGAGAGACATTTTATTATATGGACTGCTATGTTAAACCAACATAAAGGTATTTTGATTCCAAAATTTGAGTTTAAAGATATGTTGCTTTGGAAAAGAGGTTCTTCTTTTGTTTTCACAGAAGATGAGAAGCTATGGATTGCTTCCAGACAATAGAACAAGATCCCCTGAAAGGTTGTTGGAAACACCCTAAAAAGAAAATACTTTTCCCAATAAACAGCAGGAAACAGTTTGGAAAAACTACACCTGTATTCCCAAATATTGTTTATAAATGTTTGTTTATACTTCACTGGGAATATGATAAAGATAAAAATAACTTGCATTGATATGGATCTTGGTTTATTGATACAAATTTAAGGTCAATTTTGTTATATGTATATGTACTTCTGATTTTCATTAAGGTATTGATTTTGTGTCGCTCTTTATTATATAATGTATAATTAAGAAATATAAGTTAATAGATCATCATTTATAATAGTCAAGCTTGTAGTCATGTTAGTTAGATTTTCCAGATGTATAGAGATATATTTTAATTACATATGTATCCTTCAAATCTTTCAGAGACCTTCAGAATATGGCATTTAAAATGTTTTAATAACTTAGGACTTTTTATGGCAGTGAGATACAACTGCTCCTGATAGCATCAAGCTACTTCAAGAGGAAGATGGACATCAAAGATGGCCAAAAGATGGCCATTTGGGCAAGAAACTGCATTTACCTGAACTGCTTAACTGGACATGTAGGACCCACAGAGAAATGACTGCTGAATTTGCCTAAACTTGAGAAGGTTCTTTGGGGTTCCTGCTTCATGGAAGAGTCTGTTAGACATTCTGCAGGACACAGAAAAAAATGTGATCAAATGGAATAAAGGGATCAGCAAAGATACTAAATGTCCATGAGAGGCTCAAAGCTCTTGATATGATCACAATATTTTTAGGTCTAATTACTTGGGGTTCATAGTTAGACTTTCTTATCTGTAGTTTTCTCAGAAATACTTGTTTTATTTCTACTGTCCTCTATCTTCGGATTTCCCTGGGGACTCCACTATGGTTGGACAAGTATCTCTATAGGTTAACATGGGTCAGTCAATTAGAGACTTATTCCCCTTGTACATCTTCTGTTTATACCTCTCTAGACTCAAGGGATAATAAATGGTCAAATTTGATAAAGGATTCCCTTTTGTATGTTCTTAATATATTTTGTTACTATTGGTTAAAAAAGAAACTGCTTTCTGATAACGGCTTAAAAGAGCAAAACCATGAAGAAAATCTAAACAGCTACTTAGATAGAGAGTGGGCAGAGGCAAGGTGACACAAAGTAACTTACACAGGAGACAGACACCCACCAGAATTTTAACAGTAAACCATAAGCCTCGTGGTAGAAAACAAAATAATAAGTGGGTTAATTTAAGATGTATAACCTGGCTACAAATATGCTAAAGCTATTAGCAAAACAGTATTGCAATTAGTACAGTTTCTTTGTGATTATTTTGAGTTTGGGCAGCTGGGCAATGAAATATCAGCCTCCTACTACAAAAAAAAGGATTTATTTGCTTCACCAGCCATAAAACTGATCCCAATGCATAAGGGCATAGTGATTGAGAGTGTTTGATGATAAGATGTCTGGAATAGAGAAGGGGCACATATATAAAAGGCTTACCTGAAAATTTAAAGCTGTTATTTTCCAGAATACAGGTAAAGACAAACACGTCCTGCTGAATTATTTTACTCTTCTAATTTAAACATCTCACTCCTTTTAAAGCCAAAAGGAGAGAAAAGATACATGTGCACAATTATTCTCTGGGACTCTGGTGATAAAGCTTTGATATATGAACATGCCTCTACTTGATATCTCTCAGGAAGAAGAAGGGTAATTTCCCAGTATCCTTGTGATTTTAGACAAAAAAGTAAAACCACTCAGGGGATCAATAATTAATTGAAAGTTCAGACACAGAGTCCACAGTTTCCCTACTAACAGCTTAAGCTGTCTACACTCAAATTTCTGGCCTTGCCAAATTTGATCTCAGAGCATATCTTAGATCACTTTTTTCAGTACTTTAAGAAAGCTTCAAGATTACTTTGTAGTCTGCCTCCATTCCAGAGCTTAAGGACAGAAAAACTGGGACAAGATTTCCCTACTCTGAGATAGCCTATCGTTAACTGCCTAAGCTAAGAGACTCATAGTGCACAGAGACAATATCTGACAACTGGTAAAGCTTTGCTAACCAATTATCTTCAAGAGCTGGGATGAAGTTAGTGTGTGGCTTACTGGTATCCATAGAAAAAGGGCACATGGCCCAGGTGCACTCTTGTGATTCCCACACAGCACCTGCTTCATGAATTTTTTTCCCTTAGAATATACAAAAATAAAATTGCTTTATCTTTTAGTTATCCTGGTTATTTCCCAAATTGAGCCAATTTCTACAGTTGACACACTGACTCAGGGGGCTCAGGTCTCCAGTGGCACTAGCCAACTGCCATCAGTACCACACCATTCACTTGAGTATAAAATTCCTGCCTTGCTGTCCTTCATATTTTATTATTAAACATTTCAGACAGCCTTGACCACTCATGACTGTGTGGCTGGCTTCATGTTCCAATAAGGGATGCAGTCTCTCTGCTTTCTTCCCCACTTAGTGCTAGTGTGGTCACGTACCAGTCATGGACTTCTGTGGACCATGCAGTCTGTGATTTACACTACATATCTTTTAGCTTTTAATACTATACTCAGATTCAAACCAACCACATAGCTACAAGTGTGTCATGACACCTAATGGCAGATAAGGGTTATTGCACTTACTCCAGTTCAAACTGAACGACAGGTAAGATTTATAATTTTAAAATATAAATTATAAATTCATAATTTAAAAGGGCAAGATGATGGACAATTAATGATGCAGGAGTTTAATAGCCTTTTTACTTATATCACATATGAGGATATGTAAGATTTAAACAATTTCCTGTCTGTATCTCTCTATTTAAATCTGAAGATTAGCTTTATCAATCCTTTTTTTTTGTCCTTAAAAGCATGGTTTGATAATAGGACAAAGAATGAGGCATTTTTAGAAATAATACAGTATTTACAGACTGATGATGACCAACTACAAGAGAAATTCAGCACTCTGGAGAAGGATACAACCAAGTTGACAAACATAACACAGTCAAATGAGGCACTTTTATAACTGATACACTCTTTATAGACTGATAATGATCAACTAAATGAGATATTCAGCACTCGGGAGAAGGATACCACCAATTTGAAAAAACTTAACCCAGACAATGACAGAGAGTGCTGAGACATTGTCTGAGAGAATTCATATTGTTAAACGTATTAACTGGACTCTGTCAAAGAGTTATGGTAGATTAACTAACAGTATGTCTCTCCAGGAAGGCAATATGCATTCTACAAAAATTATGTCCAAGAATGAGACATTATTTTACTGGACAGACTTCAAATCTGGGAATCATCAATGAGGGTATTACAACAGACACTGAACAGGAGATCCAGGCTCTACAAAAGGCAGGGGTAAAAAATTTGAAAAGATTGAGAAATTTATCAAATTTGATGAGCAAAGACAAAAGGTACAAAGACAAAATTTAGCCTCATCAGTATGTACTAAACTCCGGGATAGCTTACCCGGAGATTTACCTGCTTTACTGATGATATCATCAGAAAGAACATCTGGCACCAAATACCCTAAGGTAGTCAGGGAATATACACGGGAGTCTATCTGTATAACTGATCTAAAAGAAATTGAACACACAATTGTACCTTATGGAATACATTCATACTTCATTAGGGAAATGGTGAAAACATGGGCTTCATGCAACAAAGAAATGCCACAAGACAGGACTCAGTTAATCTCAGCGGTCCTAGAAAATGGACCTCAGTTATTTTGGAAGTTTAATAAAGAGAAGAAGTGAAAATTTTTGAGTCACAAGAAAAAGCAAAAGGACTTGAGATTTAGCAAAATAAAATTCTGGGCGAGGGACTTACTCTGTTCCTCAGGATCAGGCTCTTTGCAAGGAACACACCTTGTCCCTATGTACCACAGCAGCTTTAAATTCTTGGGGCAGGATTCAGGAACTAAGAAAGATAATTGAATCATAAATACACAAAATGCTAGTCTACCTACAATAATTAAATGCATTACTATAAGAAATTCTTTATTAAAAAGTACGATAGAGACCAATACACAGAGAGAGAAAACAGTTAATTACAGCCTCCAGATTCATGTACATGCTTGTATGAATAAAAAAACTTGAAAATTTACTATCTAAAAATACAATCCAAAGATCAATAAGTTCCAAATCTTATACATTGCAAAGTGTATTTTAAAAACTTGTGGACATATGATGAACTTCTGAGAAAATGTGGTGAGTTTTTTTTTCTTTTTGACATGGATATAGCCATAGCTAGGTTCCAATGCCTCAGACTCAAGGGGTTATCAAAACCTTACACAAGTGAGACGCAGTGGGATAGCAAATCTATTCTCCTAGTTACCTTCCTCCTAAATGGATAAGTGGTCTGTGATGATATCTCACACAAACCTATTAGCAGTACTAGCCTCATTTGTCTCCTTTTTCTTCCACATACCATAAACCTGACTCTCACCCATATACAGAAAATGTACCTCCTGAATCCAGACGTGTACAATAAGTGCACTGACGAGCAAGTCACAGTGGATTATATTCACCAAAGGAAGTACAGCCTATGGACTCCAGACCTTCAATACGTGTGTCTGAATATCTGTTCTTCTTTCATTTCCTATGTCTACCCAAGTTCCATTAAGTCCAGGTTCACTGTAGAGGACAGAATAAAAATAATGTATACCCTCAAGTTAGCCAGATGCTCTATAAGCACCAATGTCATTTTGTGTAGCAATCTTTGTGGGTAGGAAAGCCATCTTGGGGGAGGGTTGAAGGAGGAAGGAGAGAGGCACAGAGGGGACCAGAGAAAAATGTAGAGCTTAATAAAATTCAATAAAAATATGCATATCTAATCACATATAACTTTGGTAAATTTATTAAGCTTAAAGAATTTGGAGAAAATACTCCATTATCTATCCTAATTAGGTGAGAAGGAAAGGTAGTACCTAACTCACTTTCTATTCTAAGTTGCATTACCAAAACTATCACTTATTATCTCTGAACCACATATGCTTTATGTCTTTTTAGTAAATGTTTTTTCTGAATCTTGTGAGAAGGAAAACAATAATTATCTTATCCTCATTTGCCTCAGAGAACTGAGAAGGAAAGAATATTAACTGAGTAAGCAGGAAATACAAGCTTTCTTAGCAGTTTTCTTCCTCCAACAAAGAGAAAACTATCCTAATTATTTTCTTAGTTATACCATTGTGAAAAATATCACAGTACTAACAGCTTCACTTTCATATGTTACAAATTTCTGCTCTACATAGAATATATATATTCTATATATTCAATTTTATGTATATGTATATATATATATATATATTTATATATATATGAGTATCAGCAAAAAGCTGACTTGTGTTATGGACATTTGTCATTTCCTAAGTTTTTCTGTGATGTTTTGGATAGACACACCTCTGAGACACTCTGCTGTCTACCCTTTCAACATCGCTCATTTTGTGATCAAGAAAAATGGAATGTTCCTTTCATTTCCTTGTATTATTTTTCAATGTCTCCATATGACTGGATCTGAGGGATAAGCAAATTAATTACTATAAAATGAGGATGTGCAGTTGAATTCAATTTTATTTTAATAAATAAAGGTTGCCTGAAGATTAGAGAGTAAAACAGCCCCATGGGTCAGCCTTACAGACCAGGCAATGGTTGTATACACCATTAATCGAATAGTCACACTAGTTGCCTTAAAATGGGGAAGTGCATGCCTTTCATCACAGTGGTGCACATTTTTAATACCAGCCCCAGACAGGATAATAAAATGGGAGGTGAAAGCTCTCTGACATAGTTTCATTCTGAGATTCACGGAGGCAGGATGACCAGTTTGAACAGAGGTCAAGGGAATAGCCAATGGCGGGCTGTTTTGTTTCTCAGATCCTTAGATTAAACCCCAGTTTCTCTTTCTGTGCTCTTCATAATCATGCTTCAAGGATGTAATGTCTGAAAAAAGGTTTGGCTGAGTAATGGTTTATATAATAAAGCACTATTGGGTAAATATGTGAAATTTTCAAAAAATAAGTGTGAAAAAATTACAAAATAATAAGAGGTCCCATGTCAATTTTTGCTTAATTGTACTTCAAAAGAGTAATCCCAAGGATGTGTCTGTAGTAGCAAATGTGATTTAAGGATGTATATCATTGAGTACCTAAGCATGATCACATTCAGATTTCTCTGTGGCTCCTGTCCAATCAATCTCAAAAATTCCATTATCATTAGTGTAAGCATATATTTCTTGAGACCCCATGTTTCATAGGAAAAATTATAAGAGCTCAGCAGTACACAATCCTAAGAAAACATATTAATGTGAGTTTATATATAAAATGAAAATAAAGCTTAACATAATTTAATTAACTCTATTAATTAAAATATTAACATTTGCAGATTATACTAACAATTATTAGAACGATGAAGTGAACGTATAGTGAATCCTTACAAACTTACCATACATAAGCATCCATTGAACATAGCATAACTTTTTCTTTATAAGAGAAGGGTGTAAGTATCCTTGACTATATACTTGATAGAAAAGTTCTTCCCATGGAAATATGGATAGGCCCCTTACCTTGCTTCATCTCAAATACTGGAGTGTCCAGATCTGGAAGAATAAACAAATGTATTTGACATGGAATAGAAACAATTTGTACCTGAAAAGAGAATTAGATTAGAACATATAGTACTGTGGTTCTTGAAAGCAGATTGGAAGAAATGAGGATGTTACATTATAGTTCTCTGCTCTCAGACAGTCATTTGGTACTAGAACACAGAAACTTTTCACAAGAATCCATCCTATATCCAGAATACAGGTCTAATTAATTCCAGAAAGCAAATGACTGATGTGCTTCATGCAGCGGAGTCTCGCTGCACATACAAACCACTCTTAAGAGAGGATTCAGTGCCCAGCAGTAGGTGGCACACATACAGGGAACTAAACTGCATGTTTGAAGATTCGTTGTCTCATAATTCTTGTCAGCAATTTTTGATCCTCATATGACCTTTGCCTATATGTATATGTTTACGGTTATGGGTATGGTAAGAAGCTGCTTGTTTGTTTCCTGGCTGTCCAGGCCCAAAATAATCACACAGAAAGTTTATTATTTAAATCACTGTTTGGACCATTAGTTTCTTAATGGCTAACTCCTACATTTTAATTTAACACATCTCCATTAATCTGTGCATCATCATGAGGTCATGGTCTGACAGCAAAGTTTCAGTGTGTCTGTCTCTGGCAGTAGCTCGATGTTTTCCCTCTAAATCAGCCTCCTTTCTCTTGGCATTTGGTTTATTTTTCCCTGCCTAGCTCTGTTCCATCCTATCAGGCCAAGCCAGTTTCTTTACTAACCAAGGTATTCACAGCATACAGAGGGGAATCCCACATCATTTGTGTTTTTATGGCATTTATGTTTGCATGAAGATACGTGTCTTTGCATCATTGTGGTATTTCTGCTTTCCTTTGGCTATATGTCTTATATTTGTTTCTTTTGTCCTATTCTGATGTTTTCATTTTTATTGTTATTGATATTATTATTGATATTGTACTATTATTATTATCATTACTATTATAATTACATGTCTGGGTCTATTAAATTGAGAGGAAGAAATAAATGAGGAGCACACATGTGAGAGAAGAATAGAGAGCAAGAGTCAGACAGACAGAAAGAAAGTATATAGATTTGGGCAGGTGGGAATGACAGATATATCATAAAGGAGGAGTAGGACAGGAAATAGAGAACCATAGTCATTATAAATTGTAAGGAACAAAAACTATCCTTAATGAAAAGACCACATGCAAATAAAACAGTCTCAGCAAATGTTTCTGCTATGAGCTCTCGGAGTTTCAGGTTGCCATGTAAGAGATTTACTTAAAAAATTATTCACGCAGTAGGCCCATGAAGGGTGTGTAAGGAGCAGCAGGTCTCCTGTCTTGTTTAGCTACTGATGGCTGAGATGAATTCCATGCATTGCAGATAAAGCCAAAATCAAAGCTGAATGACGATGATGTATCTTTAAGGGAACACGGTGGCTTAGGAAGCAGGAATACATTTCCTGCACAGGAAAAAGGAGCAGGTGCCTCAGTCAGCATGTAGGAAACCGTACCAAGTACCTGGCTATGCTGGATATCAATTTACTTTGTCTCCTCACAGGTTTCAGGAGCAATCCTCCTTCGTTGACTAGTAGGTTATAGTCAGGTCCTGGCTAGAACCAGGATCCAGCTGGGAGCTGGACTCCAGTCAGGAGCCTGACTGACAAAACCCCTCTGTGAAGAGACTGATATTATCTCTGGTTGCTTCGGATTGGCTAAGTGTGTAATATCATCTAGAGAATGGATTTGGGCCAATCACGAGACAGATCTCAAAGCGACCAATTGAAATCAAGGGCCTGCTGTAACTATGGAGATTTCATCTGAGCTGCTGTTTCATGAATCTCCCCCCTCCCTGTTGTTACCACAGAAACAGGAAAACTGAAACTAGAAAGACAGAAAAAATGTAGTTTAACATGGAATCTGACTTCAACTGATAACAGAGAAAAACAATCATAGGTGACAGGAACATGAGCATGCACCTGGCTTTTTGGGAATAGATCTTGGCTTCCTATAAGAATGCCTGCATTTCTGTATGAGCCCTCCTGAATGTGACTCTGGGCAGCCAAGTGCAGCTTGCTACTGAATATTTGCTTTCTTCCTATGTCAATATTTACTATTCTTATGAATGTACACAGAGCCATCGCATGGAATTGGAACTATTAGAGTGGTGAGTTTTACCTCTGTTCAAGCAATGTACCGTATGAGCATGGAAGGTCTTGAAATGTCATAATGGTCAAGAAATAATTTAAGATGTACTATGAAAAAAACTTCAAAATATCTCTGCATGTGTGTGTGTGTGTGTGTGTGTGTGTGTGTGTTCCCCAGGTGTGTGTGTCCAAAATGCTCCCCATTCAATATATCTCTTTTATTATTCTCTCCATTCATCCCAGCTCAAACCCATTCAAACGGTATCCTCATATTTCATACCCCCATTATCCAGCACCCCCAGTACACTCAGGAGATCTCTTCTATTTCCCCTTCCCAGAGAAAATCTATATATCTCTGTGGGCCCTCATTGTTATTTAGCCTCTCTGAATCTGTGGATTGTAAATTGGTTATCTTTTAATTACACCTAACATACACTTATGAGTGAGAGCATACTGTGAGGTAGGAAGTAGCCTTGAATGCATTGGCAAAGGATACAGTGTCCTGAGTATGACCAGGGTAGCATACATACTGAAATTAACAATTAATAGGTGTGTCCTCCTGAAAATGAAAATCTTCTGTGAAGCAAAAAATACTGTCAGTGTGCTTGCTAGGGTCAGAGATGGAATTCAGGCACATGCATTGTGATAAAGTTCAACCTTGCAACAGCAATTACTTGAGGCAGCCACAGAGCAAGATCTTCTCTGCCATGACATTCTGCATCTCTACTGAACAGACCATACTACCACAATAATCATTTGCTATGTTTTTAAATAGGCAATTATAAGAAGCCTTTTCAAACATTTAAATTCATGAGATTCTTTGGTGGTGTAAGTGAATGAAACACACTTGGTCCAGGAAACATCCTCCAAGAAGCAAATGCTTTAATTCACAAAAAATGCTTCAAAACAGAGAAAATGCTCTGTTCCATTACATAAGAAAGACCATGGCAACAGAATGAGCAATGCATGTCCATCTATTCATTTATTACTTAAGTCATCTATGGTTGAAAATGAGGTAAGAAAGTGGTAAGATATCCTGATTCTTGGTATAACTTGAGGTCTGACTAACGTGAGCATTCCAGTAAACTACTCAAAGGTGTAGACAAACTACTAGATCTACTTTCTAATATTAATTCCACTGTCAAAAATATATGATTAGATCATCAACTACTCACTTTTGCTTAATAATGAATATCAGTTGTTAATAAAATATGAAATAATTAACTCTTTACTGTTCTTTGTTTATATTTTTCTGGTGCATGAAAATTGCCAGGCAGGATTTGTGTATACTTGGCTGTTCTGGAACTCACTCTGTACACCAGGCTAGCCGAGAAATCACAGATCTGCCTACCTCTGTCTCCCACGTGCTGGAATTAAAGTTATGAGATCTCAGTTCAGCCATAATAAATTCTTAACTTTTCATTTATTATATAATTTATCATTAATTATAATTCCATGATTAAATGATAGAAAGTACAGTAAAGTACATGCTATCTAATACAGACCCCTCTTCACGAAAAGTTTTCCATTACCATGCCTTCCCCCTCCTCACAGTGCATGCTTTGTACTGACCTCATGATTTGATGGTTAGAAGTTCTTTAGAACTTCCACATGACCCACAGCATATACCTATCTAAGCCCAAAAGTCAGACTGCAGGTTGTCATAATAATGGAGCCTCTGAAAGGACTTGCTGGGATATTTTTAAGCAAGCCCAAGTATGATTTCATAAATATCAAACTAAGACTGCCCTCTCCCATACAGATCATCCGTATGTTAAATAAATAATACGAGAACAAGTGGAATAAACCCTTTTTAGTATGACCTGATCCATCTGAGAGCCCTGCATTGCCACTGTCTTAGAAGCTCTTGACTCTCCATTCAGCATACCTGACTGCTGCTGTAAGCCCGGGTTCTGCACATCACCCTCTTCCCAGCACTCCTTTTCACAGAAGACAGGAATAGTATATTACTATGGAAGCATAATTATTCATATCAAGAATAAGTGTAAACTGAGATTTCTTGTTAGTTCCCTGGCTGCCCAAAACTGAAATAATAACAAAAAATACATTAATTGCAAAGCTGCTTGTCCAATGATTTTTGCACATTCTTAGCTCTTACATCTTAAATTAACCCACACATATCCATTGTTTTATATTTTACCACAAGGCTCATGGTTTTCCAGTAAGGTTCCTGGCCATTTGTCTGCTGGAGGGGCTACATGGCATTACTCTGACTCAACCTACTCTCTCAATATATAGAATCTATGCCTGGCTATCTTGTGTCCTAATATGGGCCAAAAGCAGCTTCTTTCTTAACCAAGGTAATAAAACATATTCACAGCATGCAGAGGGGAATCCCACATTACCTCCCCTTCTCTTTATAAATAAAAAAGGAAGGTTTTAATTTTTACATAGTAAAATTACTTACAAGAAAACAGGTATCAAACAAGAATTATGCTTACAATATTTATATCTACTTGTTATTTTATCATAATTAAGGAAAACTATAATTATCACAATCCCTTCTTCAACTGCATCAAAGACTCCAGAAGGATATAATATTACCTAGGTAAACAGGAATGGCATTGCAAGCAACTTCCAAATCTCTAGAATTGACAGAGACATCTCAAAGTTCTTCTGTAACATTGGGGCACCCATCTGCAACCTAAAGCCCCATAGCATCTTACAGACTTTTCCATGAAGTAGTAAATTTCAAAGTCAGCCCCAACTACATTGGCAGTTTGTCAGTCACTTTCTACTGTGTCCTGCAGATTATCTGGCAGATTCTTTCATGAAGCAGGAACCCTGAAGGACTGTCTCAACTTCTTTATGCAATTTTAGCAGTCATTTTCCTGTGGGTCCTGCACAGCTGTACATAACACATAACATCAAACAGTCCAGACAAGAGGAGTTTCCTGCCCAAATGGCTAACAAATTCTATAACGAGCCTCTCAATGCCCGTAATTCTTTTGAAGTAAATTGGTGCTACCAGGAGCAGATGTGTCTCATTGTCATAAAAAGTCTTAAGATTTTAAAATATTTTAAATTCCATATTCTGTACATCTTTGAAAGAGTTGAAGAATACTTATCCATCCAAAATATATCTCTGCACATCTAGAAAAGCTAACTAACATGACTACAAGCTTGACTATTATAACTGTCTATTAACCTGTATTTCTTAATCACACATTACATTTTTAAATTTTTAAATGAGTAGCACAAACACAATACCTTAATAAGAGTGTATATATATATATATATATATATATATATATATATATATATATATATATATACTCTTTCATGGGGTTTCCTGTGTGTTTCATCTATCACAGCCATCAGTCCTGAAGCTGTTGTTACTGTTGGAATACTTAGGCCATTGTTTCAGGGGTACTTATTTGATCAAACATATTAGCCAGTAAGGAATCTACAGCTTTCCATCCTCTGTGAAACAAAAACAGAACTTTTTTTCCAAAGCAGCATAACCTTAGACCCAAATTCTAAATCAAGATACCTTTATGGTATATATGTTGCGTTAGTTTAGCAGCACATACAATGAAATGTCTTTGTACTTAGCTCACTCACAGTCAAAAAATTCAAAGAAAATAATAATAGCATAAATGATCCAGTCTCTCTGTATATATTCTATCTCTATGTGGCTAATTTTTCTTTATTCCCTTAATCTATGAATGTCTGTACTGTCTCTTTAAAGACTTTGTTTATTTTTTTAAATGATGTACTTCTGTATCCATCTAACCATCTCCCCTTACTTCCAGCCCCCACCCCCCGTGCACCCAAGTTTGCCTGGCAATCTCGTCTACTTCCAATATCCAGGAGGATAACTACATGATTTTCTTCAGGTTCACCTTCTTATTCAGCTTCTCTAGGATCACGCATTATAGGCTCAAAGACCTTTAATTGTGGCTAGAATCCACTTATGAGTGAGTACATACCATATTTCTCTTTTTGGGTCTGTGTTACCTCACAGTAAAGTGTTTTCTATTTCCATCCATTTGCATGCAAAATTCAAGATGTCATTGTTTTTTACCGCTGAGTAAAACTCTAATGTGTATATGTTCCACACCTTTTTTAACCATTCTTCTATTGAGGGGCACCTAGGTTGTTTCCAGGTTCTGGCTATTACAAATAGTGCAGCTATGAACATAGCTGAACAAATGCTTTTATAGTATGTTAGGGCATCTCTTGGGTATATTCCCAAGAGTGGAATTGCTGGGTCCTGGGGGAGGTTGACTCCCAGTTTCCTGAGAAACCGCCACACTGATTTCCACAGTGGCTGCACAAGAATGCATTTCCAGCAACAATGGATGAGTGTTCCCCTCACTCCACACCCTCTCCAGTGGGGAGGAACTTGAACTTCCCACAGGGCAGAAAACCCTGACTGCTCTTAGGACTGGAGAGGGAGGAGGAGAGAGAGTGGGGGGAGTGGGAGGATACTGGGATGAGGGAAAGAAGTGGAAATTTTTATAAATTAATAATAATAAAAAACAACAAAAAATGATGTACTTCTTTTCACAATTCTCTTACTCTTTCTCTTCTCTCTCCCAAGCCTATGTTCAGTTTTAATCACACTGTGTCTCATTTAGAGGCCTTTATGGCTGAATCTGTCCTTTTGTGTATCTGAAATCCTTTTCTGACAAAGAGCATCTTAAAATGGAAAGTTGCCACAGCCAGTGAATACTGGCCATGACTCTAGGCCTTTTAACATGGCAGAGGTAATACATAGCTGGCTCTGGGACCACCTGGAGGGGACTGCACTTACCACCTCAACTCAGGTAACCATTTGGCCCATGTTGTCAGCAAGTAACTGACTGTAGGCTGCCCACAAACCACATTCAAGTGATTGGCCACCTGAAAGAGCCAGATTTCTTAAAATTCACTTAAAAGTGATTGAAATTAAATTAAATTCAGTTAAAAAGTCATCCTCGTGGAAAAGTGAAGTCAACATTTGAGCTTGTGCAGTGAGTCTCACAGCTTATACAGGTCATGTGGAGGAGAACAAAAACCCCTGTTTAGTTAACATAAGACCCCAGGAAACCTGCTACCTTCCTCTGAACCAATGATGAAAGAGAAAGAAGTTTTTCAAAAATGTCTATGCATGATAAAAGGATGTGATCCCGCTCTGCTCACCTCCTCTTCTGCACCTATTTACCTAATTGTCAGCTATATGTGTATTTTCATCTAATTATAACTTCAACGTTACCTGGTGTGTTTTCAATCTGTCATTCCATTACCTTTGGTGCATGTGAGTTTCCTCCTCTGAAGTCTGTACATGAAGAAATATGTTCATTTTTGATTTGCTTTGTTAAATTGTTTCTAATTTGTGTCACTTGACAATTATCCTGACCCTGAATTTTTAGCTTCTTAAAATAATACAAAAGAAGGGAAACACAAAGAAAATAAAATTTACATGGGGCCATGGAGCTCAATCTTTGGTCTCAGTCCTTTTAGAACAAAAACCATTCTTTCACCAGGGTCACCTAAGACCACGTGGAAACACAGATATTGACATTATAATCACTGTACTTATCAGAATTACGTTTATGCAGTGGCAATGCAAAGAGTTTTATGACTAGGGGTCACCACAAGATAAGGAACTGTATTAAAGTGTTGCTGCATTAGAAAAGTGGAGAAAAACTTACATAGGGTGTACATATTCACAGGATAATTTGTAGGAAATGTAATTGAAAATGAGTTATGATTTCAAGGAGGAACTCAAAGTAATTTAACTTCTTTAAATTACATGACATAATTCACTGAAGTGACAGGTGAATACAGGTGTTCATTGGTACATGTTAGATGCAGATGAAGATTACAAGTCTAAACAATCAGCCCTGAAATGAAAGAAACAAGCAATACAATATGGATTAAATTGCTTACATGTAATAATATATATATATGTGTGTGTGTGTGTGTACGTATATATATATATATGTGTGTGTGTGTGTGTGTGTGTGTGTATGTCTGTGTGTGTTGTGCAGATGTGTGTTCAAACAGAATACAAACACTAGTACTGGTTATCTAGTACACTCATTGCTTAAAAGTATTTTACTCAATATAAATATATAAATATTATATAAAAAAACATCTTCCATATTCCAAGTAAAAAAATTCTCCTTATTTTCTAGTCAGACTATTCTGTGCTAATTTTGATAACTTTGTCTTCTGTTTTTCTGTTTGCCTCTTTGTGGTGGGGCATTCATGTGCTTCTGCACAAGCATGTGTGCATATGTGTTCATATGTGAGTGTGTTTGTGTTTCTCCATGTGTGTATATGTAGTAAGTTATTCTGCTTCTTTTTACTTTTGAGAGTATAATTTAATTAATGCACTTCTCCATTCTCCTTGCTCTTTCAAACCCTCCCATATACCTCTATATATTCTCCTTCATATTTGTGAACTCATGTTTACTAATTCTTGCCAGATGCATATATTTATACAAATATATATTTATTTTTAAATATAACCTGATAACTCCGTTAACACTGCCTGCACATTTGCTTTCAAGGCAGGTCTTTTGGTACTAGATAACAAAGTTGTGTGCTCTTCCCTGAGAATGACATATGACTTTTCAAGATTTCTTCAGCAGAATATGGTACTTTTTGTAGAGTTGAGTTTTCCTGGGCTTTCCTTTCTCCGTTGTGCATGTTCATTTGTGTTATCATTACTCAGGTGACTGTGTATTCTATGTAAACCTCCAGTCACCTTCTACCACATCTCTGAAACTGTATGGGTTTATATGAAAGCTAAAACCTAGAATCCTAAAAGTTTCAATACTTTACTAAAAGTTAGAAAGTAAAAGAAACAAGTGGATGCCACTGCACTGAACATTTGCTGACCATTATCCTCAGAGAAATTAGTGGAGGAAATGAGCAGTGGGTGTTTCTATAGCAAGAAATATTAACTACTTCTGTGTGGAAATAACATAGTGTGCTTTCTACAAAAATAATAAGACATGTAAAAAATGCATGGGTTAAAAACATGGTCAGAAACATGCTTGTACACAAAAATATAAAAATTTAATTGAGTTTTGCAAACAAGAAATTAATAATAAATAAAAGGCAGAAAGCCCCTCAAATTACAGTACCATCAACTAGGTGTGTGGTCTGTATCTTCACCAAAAGCTTCTCAGGAGAAGGCAGAGAAGGACCTCCTCAGTGCCTGAGTCTGAGATCATCTTGAACAGGATGATGAGATCATGTATCTGCATCATAGAAGGAAAAATAAAATGTTTAACAACTAGTGAGTAATTGTAAAAAATATATACTTGAGCTGTAAATAATTTTCATGATTATTAATATCAAAATAAAGATTAAAAAGTACCAGTTCCTAAAATAGATATATGAGTAATAAATCCAATGTTTACCAGTAACGTACAGTTTGGATGAAGAAAGCATCCAGTTCCCCTTATGTGTCATTCCTTTGTCACAATGATCAAAATGACTCTAAAATTTCTATAGAACCAAAATATATCATGTATCAATGAAATTATCCTCAAAATAAAACAAAATCAGAAATTTCCAAACATATTTCCTATTTTCAAAACTTACTGCAATGTGACAACACAGTTACACACAGACACACAGAGACACACCTTCATATGAACATAATATTATAGGGGATACGGTGAATTCTCAAAATTATCATTTACTAGTTATCATTGAACTCATCCTAGAAACGCCAAAGACATACTAGGTAAAATTTTTCTCTAAAGTTTTATAAGTGGATGCCACATGGGAATTGGATTTTCACTCACTTAACATTGTTCATATTTGTGTATTTCATATATATATATATATGCATTTCATATATATATACAGTATATATATATATACACACGTATGTATATATGAGTGTATGTGTGCATGAATGTGTGTGTTTGTGTGAATGGACAATGAAAACAAAGCCATGAACTTCAAAGTGAACAAGGATCAATACATGATAGAATTAAAAGAGAAGAAATGAAAGGGAGAAATGATGCAATTATATTAAAACTTCCAGAATTTAAAAAATACACAAGTAAAGAATAAACATATCAAAACTGAAATGTAGCTATAATTTAAAACATAATCAAAGATTGTATAGCCTACAAATTTTAATTTTAAATTAATCTTTAAAATATTATTAAAAACAATTGTTTCTAAGATATGAAGCCACAAAATTCACAGAAGAAAGATATAAATGTTCTATGTTTCTATTTTAAAATGCAGTTTTGTATATTGGAAAAGAGTACTGACAGTCAGTTTTAAAGAGTGTGTTGACTTTATTTGTAATCTGGAAATCAAACACCACAGAGCAGTAACTCACTTCATAAAGCTATCTTCAGAAGTCCCCAGTGGGTAGGACATTATTTTAGTGTGTCTATTACTTTGACAAAACACCATGAATAAAAGAAAGATAGGGAAGAAAGGGTTTATTTGAATTAAACTTCCAGTTCACAATTCATCAAAGGAAGTCAGGAAAAGAACTTAGGGAGGACCAGAACCTGGAGGGAAGAGTTGATCCAGATGCCATCATGCTGACTGGCTTGCTATGCACGGCTTGTACAGCCTGCTCTGGTGTGGAAGCAAGGATCACCAACCCAGGAGTGGCACCACCCACAATGACCTAGGTCCTCTCCTATTAGTTACTAATGAAGAAAATATCCAAATGTGTTACTCACAGCTCAATCTCTTAAATGCATTTGCTCAATTGAGATGACCACTTCTCTAATGACTCTGCCAAGTCTCAAGACATACAAAACTATTTAGAGTAAGTAGAAATATCTGAGATGTACCTAACTCTGAAGTAAAAATGCTCTAAAGACTGCAGAATTTTCAGTTCTTAACTTGAAATATTCTGCACACTCTAGAAAAATGATGTTTTCCTGAGCTGTACTCTCAGGATCATAATTTAACTTCATGAAACTTCTTGTCTAAATTAATCATCTTCTCTGGCTGTTTTTGTAAATACCTGAGAATGATCTGCCAAACTGAAACCTTAATTCAGTCTAAAATACTTATACACATAAAATAGCAATGTATTTGGCTCTTATGTACACTGGACCCTCTCTTCCAATTATACTAGTACATTGACAATACAGCGATATCAGGCTTACAATGTGGTTTCTCTGGGATGTATTATCACATGCATTTTTTAAGAAAAATGAACCACTGGATAGCTCCATATAACACTTCCATGAATTACTGAATTGTACTGACAAATTGTTGTGATATTTTTCTAAATTATTTGATTAATATTCAAGTGATGTAAGGCTTACATTTTTCCCATGCTGAGACAGCAAGATGTGTGGTAATTTTTATTCTGTTTCACAATTTCTATTTTGAAATATGTGCAGAGAGAAATTTACTAGAAAATCCACTTTGGAAAAAAAAACTTCTTAGATTTTTTTTTTTTTTGCCAAGGCAGTTGATTTAGGTGACTATAATGCAGGTAAAAATAATGTGACAGAATTCCTTCTCTCATGTCCAGGTTTTCACCACACTGTCATTTTCTGTGTGGAAATGGTGCTGGATTTCTAAAGAAATTCCTACATATCTTCCCTATTTTTTTACATATATTGCAGGCTTTCACCAGGTTTAATTGTGGGAAACCCAGAAGGGGTCCGATGGAAATTTGGTGTTGTTTTATTTATTTCTTTGTTTGAGATTTTTAAATACACGGGAATAAACTAAAGGATCCTTCCAGGAAAAATACTGTCAGTATAACATACTATTCAGTTTAGGCAAAAGCTTATCTGGATGCTGTTACTTGTGGAATTAATTATGCGTGTGTGTAAGATGTCATTTCTTAGGAAACAGCATAGAAAAACAACTAGAATATCTTGTACTTTTCTTGAGGGAAATTACAAAGCATAATTTCCACAATTTTATAAAATTAATTGGTTCACTATAATTGAAGTAAGTTATTAGTGGACAATTTATATAAAATTCTACATAAAATAGATGGTTATACTTTATGTTATGTATTGATATGATTGTAAACTTAACTTCCTTTATCATTTAAAATGCAGTGCACTCACGTGCCTGGATCATTGTCACTTACCACAACATCCATTTGATCCATCTAGATATCTACATAGAGTAAATCTCCCTCCTGATGAGAATCTCGAAGAAAGAGAGATAAAGAAGATACATATGACCACTGAGCCTCTCTCACCTCATTCTCCATACAGAAGTGCATATGATCTACTCTCAGTTACAGGGTAAGAGGGACGACCTGGGATCCAAGTTGCTAACTCCAAACCCATTTTATAAGGCAGGCTTTGAGAACTTTTCTAGACACCATGTCCCTTTGTCCATGTCTTTTTTCTCCACGGTACCTTTGTTTCCTTCTCTTACATTTAACCTGTTAAAAATGTTGAATGTTCTTTTCTTGGTATGCATCATACACATACATATATGAAGCAGTGATGGATCATTGGTTTTAAAATATAAATAAAAATTATGGAAGAAAGTCAGATTGAATTAAAATTTGATATGGGCATAATAGATGAATTGAAGGATAAAGAATGAGTGGATATGATATAGATCTATTATATATGTATATAATTTCAAAGAATAAAAAAGTTTAAAAGTCCCATGTGATCTTTTGAATGATTTCAATTTTAAGTTATGATAGGATATTTGCAAACTGTGATCTGTAAGTTTTATTTCTAGGAGTCTATTGGTTTTTAGGCATGCACGTGTGTGAGTATATAAGGAAATCCATACAATGATATGGCTACTTTTTATTCTCTGTCTATGAAAACCACATTGTTATTAGTGTAACCAGAAAGTTCCTGTGTCTTGGTATTACATAGAAACCACTAGGAGAGCTTAGAAATATACTTTTCTTAGGTAAGGTGATGATTGGAATAAGAATGTCCCCCATAGACTCATTGTCCTGAAGGCTTCACCATGGTACAGTATTATTAGGAGATGTGGCCTTATGGGACTAGGTGTGACCTTGTTGGAGGAAGTGTGTCACTGGGGGTGTGCACTGAGTTATCAAGTGCTCAATTAGTCCTAGTGTCTCTATTCTTGCTGCCCACAGAGCCAGATATTGCCTAGCACTTACAGAAGTTTCTTAAAACTTACAGTAAATTTCTCACTGCTATGTGTCATGGCATTAAATCTTTTTGATTAAAAATTAATATATAAAAAGATGGTTAAATGTAAGTACAGGTATTTACTTCTCTAAATTCTTCCCTCTTATCAACATTTTCTTTAAAATATGTTTCCCTATGGTTACCTTTAACACTTATACTGAAATGTAAGCTTTATTTCTGTGAGGATCTGAAAGATCATTGTAGACAGGGATTTAAAAAAAACTATAAAATTCCAAATAGAGGAAAATTTTGCATAATACTTGTAACAAGAATGGTTAATACCCAAAAGTCTATGTACAGGTAACCTAAATTTAATTAAGCATACCATGTTTGTAACTTGGATCCAACTATTGATTACTGATATAACAAGAAACAATATGTAGATATTTAAACACAGAAAATATTTAAACAGTTATAAATTAAGAGATATCTTTATCATTCATTTACTGATAGAGAAAGAGATCAACTTATATAACCCATTATATAAAGTTTTACCTGTATCATGTAAAAGTTAATCGAAAGAAAGTGACTGAAAACAAGTTTAAAATATAATTTAAGTTTAATGTAAAATAATATTCAAAATATTTATAGAAATTGGTGATTGAATGTTTGAATAAAATGGACTAATTTATACATACACTTGCACACAAGGACATCCCAAAGATCCAGTGCAACCTGTATTTGGATAGGACACATCCCTGCCAGAGTATATTTTTATATTAGCATCATTACAGGACAAGGAAGAATTGAGAAATAAGCATCAGAAGTCTGCAGTTCCTGTCTGCAGCTCTGTAGGCATGACCATGGGACTCTATAACTTATCTATATATTAGGAGAATTATTCTTTATTCCTCATATTCCTTGGGACATATTATCTTGTCTAGTAAAAGACTTTAGAGTTTCCCCCCACATTTTAATGTCTAAACAATATAGAAGCAAATATAAATTATGCTGCTTTCAATGTTTCCTAAAATGTCATTTAGAATGTCATGACCTGGGAAATCTTGTACAAAAGCCTGTATCCTACAAATGGTGTGGGACCTGTATGATAGTGCAGTTGATCCTGCTCTTTACCCTGGCTATCCATATTTCCTCTTAGCCAAAGCTTATTACATGGTTCACATTGTAACTACCTACAATCCCTGAAAAGGGGAGGCTAGATGATTCTCTGTTCTAAAACTCACAGCTTTGGGTGACTTTCAGAATATCAAAGCAGTGTCTTTGGAACTTTGCTGGACAGTCTTACAAAAATTACTCATTAGGATTTGTTTTCTATTCTGAATTTACTATTAGATGCTGAAGATAACAGACTTCCTTTTCAAGATTTCCAGGTACTCATCATATACAGGAGTCTAATGTTAACAAATAGCTATAAACAATTACATATCCTTCCAAAGAACTCAGGTGCATGGCCCAATCAGTTGTAAAACTGCATTTCATCTTGCTAGTCAACACTTAAATTAAGCATTATGTTATAATCTTAAAATTTCAGACAATGTGGTAGTAGTGGAGACACGGTAGATGATTTTGAACTTTTGCTGGCCACAGAAAAAATGTCACCAAGTCAATGGCCTTGTCAAGTCAAAGTCTTGTGATCAACAGCAATGACGTAAATCAACAGTCTTGCTAATACTTATGACAAAGCATTTAAAGATTTTTAAGATGGTTTTCTTAGCTGTTCTCTTCATCCAATAATGATCAAACTGCCCTAATTATTTTTACTAGTTATACTCTCGTGAAAAATTATCACAGTACTAACAATTTCACTTACGTATGTTACAAATATGACTTCTTCACAGAGCATTCTTGAATAATATACACAATCACCAAGTAGTTGTCTTATGTTCTGGACATTCGCCATCTCCTTGGTTTTACTGTGGCCTATTAGATGGATCATAGTCTGAGACACTCTAATTGCTGCCCTTTCTACATTGCTCCTTTTGAGATAAAGAGAGATGGAATTCTCCATTTTCTCCTTTTATTATTTCTCTAACTGTACATATTTAGCTATCATCTCTACATGTATCTAAAATCTCATCCTTCCCAACCCTTTTCCAGATATTATTACCAATCCACCATCTCATCAACTTTGAGGCATGAATATTTCATGCTCTAAGTGATGAAATACATCCACTGTCATATGTGCTTTCCTGACTTTTCTCTACTATTTATCACTTAACCATTTCTCATGATCTTCATATCGTGCATAGATCCATATTAGTACTGAATGCTTCTGATTATCTATGTGTGTTTATGAAAATGATAGATTAAATACCAATCAGCAGAGAGAAAATTAAAGAGGAATAAAACCAAGGAAGGGACATCACAATTAAAACCTGTGAAATCTCCATTAAAGGTACTTTTTTAAATAAAATATCATTCCTCCCTAAGTGTTTCAGTAAAAACACAGAAAGTGGAATAGAAAGACAGAAAAAAGTAAATTACCAGTGGCTCTACTTACAATTGACAACAGATAGAACAGTCATTGGTGTTTGGGGGCTTAACTTGTATCTGCTATTTGGGGCTTTATCATTGTTATTTACATGAAAGCCTCCCTTTCTGTCTGGACCCTTCGGATTGTGAAGCTGGACTGCCAAGTACAACATGCTATTGACTTTTTGCAATCTCCTCCTGCCATGTGCTATGTTTACATGCATGAAATAATACACTGGATCAGGTCTTCCTGTCTATGCATTTGTGTATGTGCATTCACAATTGATTTTTTATGTGTGATGTAAATACATATGTGAATGCATGTGTTAGACAGAAGTCCAACTACTATTTCTTGTTTTTAAGATTTATTGAAGAGAAGAATAAAGGACTGTAAGTAAGGTCCAGTAGGATTGGAAGACAAAAATGAAGCAAAACTTTCCAGACAAAATCGGACTGACACACATATGAATTAACAGAGACAGTGGAAATATTCAAAGAGCCAACCTCTACAAGAGTAAGAGTAAGAGTAACCTATACAAGAACTAACAGAGACAGTGGAAATATTCAAAGAAACAAACTATACAAGAGTAAGTAAGTAAGTAATTGATCCCAGCAATTAAAAGGGAAAGTCATGATCTCCCATCCCTAACCAAGAACTTGTCTCTGATAGACAACTACTCACAAAAGGAAAAATTAGACTTTTCCCACTGGAGTCTCACTGGGATACAAGCAGCATTAAAAGGAAGCCCAATGTTAAGAAGCAGACCCTCAACTCAAAATAAACTCAATTGTATGATCAGAGTTTTTTCTTCAAATGATTTGTCAGGAATATTTTTACATCATTCATAAAATGAGTTATATATTATACTTCATGAATTTGTTTTAATGGGAATCCTGTATGTGCATGTGGCTCTGTCTTGCTTTTTGTTTGTCATTCTTTCCCTCCCTCTCTGTTTGTTTTATCCTATTCTGGTTTATATTTACCTGTTCGTCTTCAGAAGAAACAGACGGAGAAGACACAGTCTTAGATGGGTTGGGAGATATGGAGGACATGAAGGACCTAAGGGTAAAATAATGATAAGAGAAGATTGTATGGAAAAAATATTTCATTCAGTGTTAATATAAACTGTGTTTGTAAAATTCTTCCCCATCCCTATTATCAAAATTCTATCCCAACTCTCTCTCTCTCTCTCATTCTAAATGGATCACTTTGTTGTCACCTGCATTTTCATGGATAAGAATGGATACAGTCTTTTTTTTTTTTGAAAGTAATTTTATTAAATTATAAAGAGTTTCCATTTACGCCCCTCCTCCCAACGCCCTCCCACTCCCCCCTCCCTCTTCTCCTCCCTCTTTGTCCCCAAGGGCAATTTGATCATTATTGGAGGAAGAGAACAGCTAAGAAAACCATCTTAAAAACTTCTTGATTACAGTAAAACCAAGGAGATGGCGAATGTCCAGAACATAAGACAACTACTTGGTGATTGTGTATATTATTCAAGAATGCTCTGTGAAGAGGTCATATTTGTAACATACGTAAGTGAAATTGTTAGTACTGTGATAATTTTTCACAAGAGTATAATTAGTAAAAATGGATGTTTGCCATGAAGAAATCGTTCCCATCTACAGCAGCCCACTAAATAAAAATAGATACTCACGTAAGAGTGGAACTTCTTGATTACCTCTTCCATATACGGTGAGATACTGTCTGGCTTGAACTGATATCAGTCTTCAGCATTCAGTTTTAGATGTTGTGAGTTTATGTGTTCAGCTGTTTTGTCATGCCCAGAAAACACCGTTACAATGAAGATGTCTACTATCTCTGCTAATTTGAGACAGAACTTCCCAATTGACTACAATTTTCCAAGAAGTTTAGCTCAGTAGAGAAAAAAAATATATACATGTCTGTCACTTTTCCTCATAACCTGTAATACCCTGGGAATAACTGTCCATACTCTCCCCTGAACTTGATCTTTACATGGGTATTGTATGAAGGAAAGTTGGGTGCTCATATCTATAAGGTACATGTGTAGCTGAATAACTAACTCTCTGTCCTGCACATTTTAATATGAAAAAAAAAGAAAACCATGAATGAATTCTAAGGATCACAAGGCTACTCAATTTATGTAAACCTTTAATTTTCTTCTACCTCATTTCTGAAGCAGCCCTTTGAATCCTCCTAGAGTTTCAATCTTAGATTTCTGAATACTGGAAGAAAATCTAAGAAAATGGGAGCTTTCTGTGCTCTTTCCCCTGAGAGCACCAAACATATAATGGGACAAGAGAGGCACAGAGAACTCTGATGTACATTCCTTGCCACACATGGCCCAACCATTTGTCACAGGGCACAGCTACATTCAATTTGCATTCCAGTAAGACCAGTTTTAGAATATCTTACAATATCACAAGTTTAGAGAGAGAGAGAGTCTACTATGTTATTCAGTTTTCCAACTGGTCTACTCCTTGCCACCATGTTATGTTGAGGTCCAAACTGCAGATAACAGTTTATATCTGTTAGATAAACAGTTATAGTTTATCTAACAGCTATAAAACTCCTAGGTAAACATCATGATTTTACTACCTTTCCTTAAGCATCATATATATGTGTGTGAAAGCCATTTAAATAAAATCTCTTTGCACTAGGCATGACAATGCCCATCTAAGCACATTATTACACCAAATAAGAGTCTAGAGTACAATATATCTTCTCATTCCAATGGCTAATGACATTTCATATTCCTCTCTTCAATGGAAAACTATTGCCTAGACTATCAGTTAAATACTCTCCATGAGTTCAAAATTCCATGTTTTTATGACATCAAGCATAGAGAAACTGAGCTGCTTCCTACTAGAAGATTCACTATTACTAACAGCATTACTTGTGTGGAATGTGCTCTGAATGCTCTTGAAATAAAAAAGAAATCATCAGTATCACTCAGTTACAAACCCTGAAATTTGTAGTAGTGGCATCCTTAGAAGCATACTGCTACAATTATGGTGTCAAAATTATGGGAGTAATCAAGAACTTCATGATTGGATTTAAGGGTCATTCCATAATTAGGAACATATAGCTGATATTGCTGATGTAGCCAAGAACTTGAGAATAGAAAGTTCTAGAGATAAACTTAGGTTAAACATAATATTATTATTTTGCTAAAGGAAAATATAAAGTAACTCCTGAGGTCATGGATCAGAATATCACTTAACTCTCATCAGAGAAGCTTATTCTTATAGTACATGGGAAGTATATTAGAGACTTGTGACTCGACAAAGTGTAGGAATATTGATCCTTCGGACACCTAAAAAGGAGTCTTCATGCCTAAATGATCTATGCAGAAGAGGAGGTTTAAAGATTGTCAGAGCCAGAGATTCCATAACATGACACATAAACATGAGACTACACAGAGTATAAGGCAGTACACATATGATCCTAACAGGTTCAAACTAGGCAAATGTCCCTACAGTGAATAGAGGGAGTGGGAACCCATCGCAAGGCTCACAGGCATCTACTGGTGAAGGAGAAATAAGTTTTCGTCCATGGAGTGTCATTGAGGTTATAAATTACAATCAATGGCAGCAACCATGCTCAGAAGTAATTAGCAACAAAGAAAGTACTCCATGATTTGTTTTGGAATATGTATGGAAGTTTTGGTTGTCTGTGTTTTGTTAGTTTTTCGCGTTAGAGATTTTGTTGGATTCGATTCTCTGTCTCTCTCATTTTCTCTACCTCTCTTAATATAGGAGGTGGGTGATATGTGAACATAGAGAGACAGAAAAGGGGAAACTGGGAAGGCAAAGGCATGTATAAGAAACATGAAATTGGACAGATAGACAGATAGAAAATATTTGGGAGGCGTTCAATGTGGGAATATGATTTAAATATACTGTATGAGAAAAATAAATGAAAATTGAAAAAAATATACATGTTAGTTTACACCAATGGTTCTCAACCTTCCTCCTGCTGTGATTACCTAATGCAATTCCTCTTGTATTGTTGGGTGACCCCCAACAATAAAATTATTTTCATTACTACTTCGTAAGAGTAGGTTTGCTACTTTTAAGAATCACAAGGTAAATATCTGCATTTAACCTATGAAAGGGTGGATTTGATCAAAACTTGACATGCCATGCTTTGTTTATCCCCATGGGAGGCCTTACCTCTTCTGAATGGACACAGAGAGGACTGGATGAGGTGAGGGGTAGAGGGAAGGAGGGAAAAGGAGCAAGAGAAGAGGAGAGAAAGGAAAGTGTGTTTGGTATTTAAAATAAAAATTAATATAGCCTGATGTAGGATTCCCCTCTGTATGTTGTGAATAAAGGACTGTTTTGGGCCTGCACAGGAAACTGAGGTAGGTTGGGAAAGACAGGCTGAATGCTGGGAGAAAGAGGCAGAATGAGAGAGAAGCATTGTTGCACCCACCAGAGTCAGACAGAATTTTAGCCGGTAAATCACAGCCACGTGGCAATACACAGATTAATAGAAATGGGTTAAATTAATATTTAAGAGTTAGCCAATAAGAAGCTAGATCTAATGGGCCAAACAGTGAATTAATTAATACAGTTCTTGTTTGATTATTTCAAGGCCTCAGCGGGAAACAAAAAGCGGCCTTCTCCTACAATAGCATGTAGTTGAGTACTTACAATATTCACAAGTCCATTTAACCACATGTGATTATGTTATGGCCCATCACAATATATTATGTCTTTATGTCTACCACAACTTATAGACAGAAACTGATTGGATTATCTAGGGAAATGGTAGATTTTAGCCCTAGTCAAGCAATACACCCAAGTACCATGGAGTGTATTACAGTTTCATAGTGGTAAAGAAATAATTTAATAATTATATATTTTAAAAGAAAAATCATGAAACTCTATTCTAAACTTTAAGGTTTGATAGTGGAAAATAAATATGTATTTTTTTATTGTGGAATCACATAACTTAATTAATCCTCTTGAATATGCATATAATTTCTTTTCCTAATTTCACTAGACATGAATTCTTTCCCAGTATCCACTAATGTTCCATTCCAACTTCACAAGCTCTCTACTTTAATGCACACTCAGTCCATTCAGAGCTGCCTGTGTGTGCATAGATGGGTGAAAATGTACAAGAGCATGAACTGGCTCTCAGGGCAAGTCTCTCTGTATAAACTAACTCTCCTCCTGAAATCAATCGAATCCCACTAGCCTCTCAGATGTGTGTTTGGCTTCAACACATAAACCCTTGACTTTGGTGGGATTTGGATGATTACTTCTCAGTATGTAGCCCCAGATATTGAGAGTTTGTTTGTGTTCAAATGTGCTATACAGTCCTGCAAATACTGTATCAGCACAGAGGTGTACTATCTCTTGCTCTTTGGGATATCATTTAACACTGGGCTGAATTTGACCATGTTATCTAGGCTATCTGGGTAGCAAGATCCAAAGGTGTCTCTGTCTCTAAACCTGAAGTTCCATGATGGCATGCCAACACCACTATGTCTGTTTTTAATATGGAAACAAGAAATAAACCATGGATGATCGTAAGTGTAAGGTAAGCACAGGGATGACTGAGCACTCTTGCTAGTCCTTCATTTTTTTAACTAAAACAACCAATAAAGTCCACAAAACCTTCCAGATACTCGTTACATGTAACTAGCAAATTTTCTTCCACCTTATCTCTGACGTTGCTCTGTGAGATACTCCTTTAGTGTTGATTTCAGTTTTTCATACATGACTGAAATCTCAGGAAATGGGAAAGAGTCTATGCTACTCCCCTGTGAAGCGCACACATGTATGGTTCACCTGCACATGCCTTCAAACATTAACCAAGCCTTGTCAAACCAAGCCTTGTCAGTTCCTTGTCTATATTCATTCAACCTTCCAGGACTCTCCAAACTTCTTTCTTTTTTAGATCAGTAATCTGTCTGCGCAGAGTTCTATTGTTCAATAGGATTGTCATTCAGCATTTTATTGAATTTGTCAATATGGTTAGTTGGGGAGATTGATAAGTAAGTCTTCCAAAATATAATATAGAAAACATTTATACCAATTGGAATGAAATAAGTATATAATAAGGGCTATTGCACTCACCTGCCCACCTATAATTCATCCTAGTGTTTTATTGGTGGTTACAATGCTTTCCAGCACCCTCACCTCTACTGGAATGGCATTCCTTTCCTTCTTTTGGTTCTCTCTCTCTAGGTTTCTGCTTCCTTTCTTGCCTGTTTCTTTATTTCCATGTCTTTTCTGTCTTACTTTCATTGTTTTTTTGTATTTTACAAATCTGGTAACAAAAGTTTGAAGAACCTCAGAAAGTAGCTTTCTCTTTCAAAAATCAAAATATTTCATATAAAACCACAAAAAGTGATTTTACCAAGAAAACCGAAAAAACTATGGCTCTTGGTGGGGAAAAAAGTAGATAAATACAGAAGGACAAAATAACAATATGAATGTCTGAAGAGTCACAAGGAATCACAAAATCAATTATTTATGTAAAAACTACATATATAAATACAATATATGAATATATGTGCATATATATGAATATACATGTGTGTGTGTGTCTGTATGTGCGTGTGAACTTTTCTGATTTGTGCTGGCTATAAAATTTCTGGTAACATATGTTTTTCTTTTTTTCCTCTAGGATCAGAGTTCAGACGTAGCAAGAGACAAGGCAGTATATAGGTATGCTGATATGTTGTTAGACCTGAATAAAATAACTATTCATAGATCCTATAAATTTAATTCAGTTGTATGCAAGCAAAATCTCACTTACTTTGGGGAAGATGACTATACTGCCAAAATGTGTCATTGAATAATGTGTAAATCCTCTTATTTTATGAATGTATGTATGCATTTCCATCCATGAGTACACATGAAGGCACAGATATTATATTCTACTCATACTGATGAAATATGCACCAGTGAAATATCAATAACATAACATTAAGCAATTAATACTTTCTGGTTACATATTTTGATTAATAATGAATGGATTGTTACAATTATAAATTATGTTATTACCAATTATCAAAATTTTGTGTTGTTTCTACATATATTTGAATATCAACTTACCTATTATTGTGAAATGATTACATTATACTCACAATTTTTCTGCCTCCTCGATCTTCCTCAAGATGTTCCATCAAATTATCCATTCTTTGCATCGAATCTTTAATGATCATCTCCTTAATGAAAATCAAATACCGCACTTGAACTTCAAAATTGACTCTCTTGGTCCACACTCCCTTGGATCTGTGTATAAATACACATCATATAATTCTTAGATATAATATGATCATCTGAATACTTTTATACCTCTGTCAAACCACACTGAAAGGTGTTCAATAAATCTGTGGATACTAGTAAGGCTTTAGTATCTTGATGTGGGAAGAATTTTTAAATATATCTCGCTTCTATTGGCTAATGAATAAAGCTGTTTTGGCCAGTGGCTAAGCACGATAAGCATGGTAGGAGGGAAAGCTAAACTCAATGATGGGAAAAAGAACACAGAGTCAATGAGAAGCCATGTTGCCAGCTGCAGGAGACAGACACCTCTACCTCCATTGGAGCATACCAAAACTTTGCCAGTAGGCTAAAACCTCATGGTAATGCACAGATTAATGGAGATCGGTTAGTTTTGCCAGTAGGCTAAAACCTCATGGTAATGCACAGATTAATGGAGATCTGTTAGTTTAGGATATAACAGCTAGTGAAAAATATGCCTAAGCTATTGTTCAACATTACTGCAAATAATATAACTTCTGTGTGATTACTTCAAGTCAGGGTGGTCAGGAAATGAACTAGCAGCCTCCACCAACAGATTGGCCTGCCAAAGTGGTCTGAGACATTTCGGGCTGATGCCTACCACCTACTTGGGTCTGGATGCTTTTGTGCCCACTCAGTATAGGGAGGAAAGTGACTGAGACCATGACGATGGCTCATTGCTCCCTGCTTGGACCGGCAGCAGAATCAGGTATGGTAAGGGTGTATAGGCTGAGAGCATGGCAGATTCCCAATACAATACACAGAGATATTTCCAGACCATGCAGTGTGCTGCATGATACATTTAGCTTTTACTCAGATAAAAAGGGTTTATATGTGCATGCTTCTTCTCAGAGTTAAGATGCTGAGCACAGCTACTACCAGGAGGTCCCAGAGCTGGCAGTAATGGAACCTTTGCCATAGTGTAAGGCAGAAAGAGGTGGAGTCAGCATCAGGGCTGCTGCAATCACAATGCTAACTATTTTAAAGCACTCCCGATCAAAAAATAATTATAAATATACAATAAAGATATATTCAGATAAAAAAAACCTTTAAATGGTTTATAGTGCTGGTAAATGTATGTAGGTTTGGGATTTAAAAAGTATAGACATCTATAAATAAAAATAGATTACAAAATAAAACAAAGTCTTTAAAATGATATAGTACAGACATTAATAAATTGAAAAAATAAAAAATAAGCCACATAAAAATAAAATATACACAGAAAGTTTAAATTATGTAAACTATTGTGTTTCATTAAATTTTTGACTATTAAAGAGCTAAGTACAGAGACATTTCCTTGTATGGGCTACTAAACAAAACCAACATATGTACTTTAAAGCTATCTTGACTTCAAAACTTGGGCCTAAGAAATGTCACTTTGAAAAAGAGATTCTACTTTTGTTTCCATAGAGGATAAGAACCTGTGAATTCCTTCCAGATTAATGTGGTCTGATCAAACAAGGAACACTAAAACAATGACCCAGATATTCCAACATCCATGATGGCTTCAGGACTGCTGGCTGAGATGGACATATCACACAGGATACCCCATGACAAACATGATTAACAGTACCACTAATCGGTAAAAAGTACTCTAGACAACAATGCCCTAATTCCCTAAATAATTGTTTATACATGTTTGTTTACATTTAAAGGGGGATATGCTATAGATATGAATACTTTGCAATGGTATGGATCTTGGTCAATTGATACAAATTTAAGGTCAATTTTGTTTTACTATGTATATATATATATATATATATATATATATATATATATATATATTTCTGCTCATTATTAACATATAGTGTTTGTATGTAAATCTCATTTAAATTCAATGGATGTTTAAAAAATACAGGTTAATAGATAATTATCTGTAATGGTCAAGATTGTAGTCATGTTAGTTAGGTTTTCTAGATGTACAGAGGTATATTTCAGATGGACAGTTATTCTTCAAATCTCACAAAGACTAAGATAATATGGCATTTAAAATGTTTTAAGAACTTAGCGTTTTCATGACAATGAGACACATCTGCTTCTGACAGCACCAATTACTTCGAGAGAAAGATGGACATCATGGAGGCTCTTGTGGAGACATTTGAGCAAGAAACTGCTCTTCTATGAATTATTTGATTGGACTTTCAGGACCCACAGAAAAATGACTGCTAAAGCTGCATAATATAAGTGAGACAGTCCTTTGGGATTCCTGCTGCATGAAAGAGTCTACCAGACATTCTCAGGGACACAGAAGAGAGTGACTGACAAACTGCCAATGTAGGTAAAACTGTACTTAAAATGTCCTACTTCAGGAAAAAGTTTGCTGGATACCATGAGTCAGCAGGCTGAAGATGTGTGCCCCCAACACTACAGAAGTTTGAGTGACTGTCCAGGCAGCAAAGATGTCTCTGTCAATTCTCGAGTTACAATGCACTTCCAGTTTACGTTGGTAACACTTTATCCTTCTGGACTCTTTGATATAATTAAAAATAAATACAGTTATAGTTTTCCTTAGGTTTGGTTAAAAAAATAAAGTAAATATAAATATTGTAACTATAATTCTTGCTTGATACCTGTTTTGTTATATGTAATATATTATGTCAAAGTTAAATACTTCCTTTTCATTTAGACAAAAAAGGGAAATGGTGTAAGAAGTCCTTTTGTATATGTACTGCTTTAATTAGTTAATGAATAAAGTTGTTTTGGTCAGTGGCTTAGCAGAATAGAACGAGGCATAAAAACTAAAATTAATTCTGGGAGAAGGAAGGCATAGTCAGTGAGAAGTCATGTAGCCACTGGGGGAGATAGACACGTCCTCTGGAGCCTGTAGAAAATTTGACAGTAGGCCACGACCTCTTTGTGATGCACAGATTAAAGGAAATTGGTTAGTTTAGGATAGAACAGCAAGCTAAAAATAAGCTAAAGCTATTGACTAAACAATATTACAAATAATATAGTTTCTGTGTGATTATTCTGAGTCAGGGTGGTCAGAAAATGAACTAGTAACCTCCCCCAACAGTATCCCAGGATATAAATGAGCATGTCTAGGAATGTTGTATGATCCTAATTGTGCATTACTAGTTAAGGATAATTAGTGCCATGATCTAAGATTCAAAGAGAAAAGAAATATTTCAGTATTGTTTATTTCTGGGTGTCATTTATTTCAGTTGATCAAACAATCCTGACCTCACGTTATTTCTTTGCCAGAGATCTCCTAAGAAATGAAAACAGCAAGACAACAAAACAGAAGAGCAAATATAGGGAACAAACGATAATTGTGTAAAAAATATGTTATCTTGAAATTTGTGGGCAAATCAATGGATCTGGAAAACATCATACTGAGTGAGGTAGCCCAGACCCAGAGAGACAAACATCATATTTACTCACTCATAAGTGGCTTGTAGACATAAAGCAAAAAATAAAGCCTACAATATACAATCCAGACAATCCAGACAACAAAGAAGACTCTAAGAGAGACATATATGGATCTAATCTACATGGGAAGTAGAAAAAGACAAAATCTCCTGAGTAAATTGGGAGCATGGGGACCATGGGAGAGGGGAGGAGGGAAGAAGGACAGGAAGGTCGGGGAATGAAAAAATATAGTTCACAGTTCAATTATGTTAAGGTGGAACTCAGTTTCCCAGGAATCCTCAAAAATTATGTTAACAGTCTCTCAGACCCTTTGCAAAACCTCTCCTTCTCAAGACCAAACACTAAAAATGATAGGATTCCCAATGTGCAGTGCTCCAGGCAGTGATTTACACTGGTAGTAGAATGGTATGCACTGTCTCATTATAGGATACCAGGTAAACATGGTTGAAAGTACTCCGAAATATAGAAAGATTATAGCACAGATATTTCATGGGAGGGAGATTTATATTACCTAAACAAGTTGTGAATTAAAATCCCCCCAGATAAAATGATAAGGACCCAGCAATTCCACTCTTGGGAATATACCCTAGAGATGCCCTATTATACTACAAAAGCATTTGTTCACCTATGTTCATAGCAGCACTATTTGTAATAGCCAGAACCTGGAAACAACCTAGGTGCCCCTCAACAGAAGAATGGTTAAAGAAGGTGTGGAACATATATACATTAGAGTTTTACTCAGCGGTAAAAAACAATGACATCTTGAATTTTGCATGCAAATGGATGGAAATAGAAAAGGCTTCACTGAGTGAGGTAACCCAAACCCAAAAAGAGGAATATGGTATGTACTCACTCATAAGTGGATTCTAACCATAATTAAAGGTCTTTGAGCCTATAATTCGTGATCCTAGAGAAGCTAAATAAGAAGGTGAACCTAAAGAAAATCATGTAGTTATCCTCCTGGATATTGGAAGTAGACAAGATTGCCAGGCAAAACTTGGGTGCACGGGGTGGGAGTGGGGGTGAATGTAAGGGGAGATGGGTAGAGAGAAGGGAGAAGGGGAGGATTCGGGAAAGATTGGGGGAATGGGATGGGTGGGATGGAGGAAGAGTGGATATGGGAGCAAGGAAGTAAATATCTTAATTAAGGGGGCCATTTTAGGGTTTGCAAGAGACTTGATTCTAGAGGGGTTCCTAGGTCCAAGGAGAGGTCCCCAGATTGTTCTTTGGGCAGCAGAGAAGAGAGTACCTGAACTGGCCCTGTCCCATAGCAACACTGATGAATATCTTGCACATCACCATAGAACCTTCATCTGACGATGGATGGAGATAGAGACAGAGACCCACATTAGAGCACTGGACATAGCTCCCAAGGTCCAAATGAGGAGCAGAAGGAGGGAGAACATGAGCAAGGAAGTCAGGACCACGAAGGGTGCATCCACCCCCTGAGACACGGGGACTGATCTAATGAGAGCTCACCAAGGCCAGCTGGACTGGGACTGATGGAGCATGTGATCAAAATGGACACTCTGAATGTGGCTAGCAACGAAGGCTGACTGAAAGGCTGGGGACAATGGCACTGGGTTTTGATTCTACTGCATGTACTGACTTTGTGGGAGCCTGGTTTGTTTGGATGGTCACCTTTATAGTCCTGGATGGAGGGGGGAAGACCTTGGACGTCCCACTGGGCAGGGAACCCTGATTGCTCTTAGGACTACAGAGGGAGGGAGAGGTGGGGAGGGGGAGAGAAAAGGGAGGCGGGGAGGAGGTGGAAATTTTTTATAAATAAATAAATAAATTTAAAAAAAGAAAAATAAATAAATAAAATGATAAGGATTTGAGCTCAGTCACAGAATATTATTAGATATAAAAGGAAAAAATTTAAAAGACTTAGCTGCAAAACTGTGAAAAATTCTAAATAAGGTCCAACCGAGAAGCAGAAGGAAGAACTTGAGCAGGGAGGGCAAGATCAGAGGGAACCTTCATCCGACAATGGATGGCGATGCAGACGGAGACCCACATTGGAGCACCGGACTGAGCCCTCCAAGGTCCAAAGGAGGAGCAGAAGGAGGAAGAACACGAAAAAGCAAATCAGAAAGGCAAGGGGAGCGATCACCCACTGATACAAGGCGACTGATCTAATGAGAGTTCACCAAGGCCAGTTGACTGGGACTGAAGGAGCGCTTGATCCAACCAGATTCTCTGGAGGAGGCTGGATTCTCTGAATGTGGCTGGCCCGAAGTCTTTCTAAAAAGCCATTGACAATGACTCTGGGACTTGTTTCCTCTGCATATTCTGGATTTTTGGGGATCCAGTCTGATTGGATACTCACCTTCCTGGTCCTGGAGGGAGCAGGGAGGAACTTGAACTACCCACAGGGCAGGAAACCCTGACTGCTCTTAGGGATGGAGAGGGAGGAGGAGAGGGAGTGGGGGGAGTGGGAGGGTGTTGGGAGGAGGGGCGAAAATGGAAACTTTTATATTTTAATAAACTTTGAAAAAAAAGAAAAAAGATTTACAGGAGAAATAGCTCAGGTAGCATAACACTTACACAGGTTTTGTTTGGGTTTGTTGGCAAGATTTCATTGAATATCTCATTGTAAAATTTTTCTCTATCATTCCTCTAGGAAAGAAAGATGGATAGAATATATTCATGGATGTGTGCATAAAACATTCCATTTCATTTTTAAACTTTAAGCTGTTTTTTTTTTTCAATACATCTCAAGAATCATTCATCTGAGATACTTTTAGTCAGGGACTTTTGGCAGATATTTGCATTGTTAATGATATGGCTAGCGTGGTGGTTACAGATTCAAGTTCTGTGGAGTCAGCTAGAAATCCCAGAGGACTTGAAATTAACTGTGTGGTATATTTTAATATATGAATGCTTCTAAATAAGTTTTCAAAGTTTTTCATCTTGACGAATTTCTTAATGTGATTCATTGATGGAACGTAGAAAGTCTCGATTTTGGGTTTACCAGGAATCTTTTAAACTCCTGTATTGACATTTGATGAATATCTGACCCATAACTTTTAACCTCTTTCATCCTGAATCAGTCTCATCTTCATAATGATAATATTAATGTCTCTATTAACTATGGAATGATTCATGAAATGTGGCCAAGACGAGCTGACCATGTAAGAGGGGCTCTTAGCGTGCATTTTATAATGACTTTTATAATGAACATCTAGAAAATAAAGATAGAATATGGAGATGGAAAATGAACTGAGAACTATAAGATCATGACACAAATTTGTTACCTATTTGGCTTGAAAAGGAGCTGTCATGAATGGAGGCATCAGACAGCATGGAGTTATTTCTTCCCAATCAGAAACTTTCCTTCCTGGACAGAGTGAGAAAACATGTAGAGATAGAGATTCATCAGACTTAGGAAACTCATAAAATTACAAGATGTAGGGAGTAATGCTCCTTTCATTGGTATTCACCCATGATTGGTTGGAACTTTTGGTGATGCAGGATGCCTTAATGGACCCATGCTCATGTGAGTAACCTCAATACACACCCTGGATCACCATACTAGAGTTTGGTAGCATTGTTATTGTGGGTTATCGTTTGTACTTTATGTCTGGCTTGAAAATATCTTTGTTCACATCTGACCAGGAAACATAATGAAATTCAGAAGCACATTCAAATATAAAACTATCATTAACCAATGTATTCTATTACATATTCATTATCATAATTGGTATCCTAGTCATCGAAGGCTTCTCTACCTCTAAATATGAACTGTAGCAAATAAAACAGTTTCTTAACTGTTTAGTTTTTATTGAACTATATATATATATATATATATATATATAAACAATTTTTAAAAAAGGAAAAAAATGAGCCTCCTGTAAGATAACCCTCTTTAAAATGATATGCAGGTAGGAGTAAAATGGTCTACTAGCAAAAAGCATGTACACTAAGAAATGAATAAATATTCTCCATCTCCTTTCGTAATGAATCATAAGGTTAGCGATTGAAATAATTTTAAAAAACCTACTCAAGCCTCATGCTAATGAATGCTTCTATCCTTTGAAAGTATGCAGTGTACCTTCTGGCAACATAAAGTATATTTAATAAGAAAGAACTATCTACTTGCACAAAAACCTAATTTCTCCATGTTTTTTGAAAAAAGTATTTGGCATTTTAGCCATTCCAACATGTAATAAAGTATAAATAATATATTTACCATTATTAATTAATGTTTTAGGTGGGAGTATATGTGAACTCAAGATGGGTCATTGAACCAATTCCTGGAGGTTTAATTGGTGGCATGCCTAAATGGGGAGCTTTTTTCTTCATGTATTGATTGCTTTTAAATTACTATCATATATGAACATATTTTAGGATGCTTCTACAGTGATAGGCATGAACAAAACTTTGAAATGTTCAGACCACTTACAACGGCAAAATTGATAAAATGTTTGGACACAAAGTCCTATTCCTATAAGAAACATTTATGAAATTTACATCTGTTGAAAAATGGAAAATCAGATTTTTCAAATGGAGTCACTGAGAATATTAACCACCATCTAGGCCTGGCTCCACACCCAGGAGTAGTGGGCAAACATAGAATTAAATTCATGTTTATGATTTTTTTATAGTTTTTGTGTGTGTGTTGTCATGACAGTTATTTTTTTGTTAAGTTTTCTGTGTTTTTTTTCATTTTTTCTTTGAGAGAAAGAGGGGGAGAGAGAGAGAGAGAGAGAGAGAGAGAGAGAGAGAGAGAGAGCAGAAATGTACAGTATACATGAACAAGTAGGATTCCATACATGGAATAGCTACTGAGAAGGAAGAGAGAAAATCAGCAGTAGCTGAGGATGCATGCTGGAGTGCAAACCTTGTAAGGAAATGGACAAGAGGAAACAAATTCTGCTCTACACTGGAAATATGAAACAGTACTGTAAATTTAATTGTTTCTAAAGTTGCCTTGTTCACTCTGTTTTGTGAAGTCTAAGGAATGAAGATCTAATAGACCACCTTGTCTTCTGTCATAAAAGAAGGCAATGCATCCTGTCTTGGAAACATAAATAACTCTGGTGGTTATAGATAAAAACAGTGAGCAAAAATCTTCTCTAAGATTTAGAATGCTGAGTAAAATAGAATGCATTACCGTTCCTTCAAAAGCTGATGAAAACACAAATCTACTTTTTTATGGTTTGGATCAATGATTTGCTGGATTCTAATGTCTATGTAAGATGTTCAGAGCTTGTTCTCAGTCAAAATTACTGTAGTGACATATTTATAACAATGTTACATCTGAAAACCCTCTGTCAGTGTCTCTGGGGAGGGCTTCTCTAGAGTTGTGGCAGTTCACACATCCCATGCTATCAATCATATTTAAATGTGATCTAACTAGGAGCTTAATCTCAAGCAAGATGGATGTAAACACACATACCTTACAATATGGTGTCTGAAAACCATCTGTAAATGGGTCTCCTAGTGGGTCTCCTAGAGCTATAGTAGTTCATGCATTTCATTCTTATCAATGAGCTCTAACTACCATATAATTGGGAGCTTAATACTGTATAAGTAGACAGGTTTGTATATACAGTAACAAGGGATGTTCTGAAGAGTATGGAATGTGAACAAGATCTGTGGAATGATCAGACAGTCCATTCTATTGTGTGACTTCTTGATTCTCCTTTTCGTTTTCTCAAATGCAGAATCTTTATCCTTCTTTGTGCATCCTGGTCCTTGAATTGTCATGACTTCTGTCTTTCAGATACCCCAGGATTTTCCAAATGTTTGAAACAAGCTCTAAATAGTTAATTGTTTAAATCTGATAAAATGGTGGTGTCTTCCTGATCATGCACTTTATTTGTAAGCATTTGTAAAATTAAGTGTGATGTGGAAGGAGAAAAGAGAAAAGGAGTTCTAATGGAGGGAATTGTGTTCCTGATCAGGAAAATCACTGAGCTGGATTTGGTGTGGTGAATAAACATGAAGGCCAAACTATCAAAATATCCAATTAGCCTCTCAGGTAGAATGATATTTTAATGTTCATCTGAAAAGAGATTCCACTAAATAAAATCTTCTTTAAACAATACTGAGATGTTATCTGGCAATATTAAGGTGGGAGACAGAGAGAGTTTCACAGATATTTAGTTCCCCATTGTTGAATTCCATTTAAACATGATATGTTGGTTTAAACTCCATTGCTGACAGTCCTAGGAATCTACATAGTAAATCTATGATTTTCAGTAATTTTATCAGTTTTCCTCAAGTGTCAACATCTTCCCCATTTTATTCATTACCAGAATATCTCATTGCACTGAATGCCAGATATGAAACATTTTTGCACAAAGAAGCAAGTGTCTTGATGGTTCAGACCCTCACCTGTATTATCCATCATCCCGCCTGTGACTGTGTGACTGGCTTCTTGGTCCAGTAAGAGATGCGGACTTCCCTGCTTCCTTCCCCTCTTTGTGCTAGTGTGACCACGTAAATGCTTCTACGGAGCATATAGCCTGTGATTGACATTACATAACTGTTTTTAATCTGAGCATATCTTTTAGCTATAATCAGATTCATATGAACCATACAACCACAAGTGTGCCATGACACCTACAGGCAGGTAACAGTTATTGCACCTGCTCCAGTTCAAACACCAACCACAGGTAAGATTTATAATTTTAAAATATAAATTATAAGTTTATAATTTAAAAGGGCAAGATGATGGACAAATTATGAATGCAAGAGTTCAATATCAGTTTTACTTATATCATGTATGTTGTTATGTAAGATTTATATGATTCCCTCCTACATCTCTCTATTAAATCTGAAGATTAGCTTTATCCTTCCTTTTTTCTCCTTAAAAGCTTGATTTGATAATAGGGCCAAGAATGAGGCATTTTTAGAAAGGATACAGTCTTCATAGACTGATAACGACAAACTAAAAGAGAAAATCAGCTCTTTGGAAAAGGATACAACCAAGTTGACAAATAAAACCCAGTCAAATGAGGCACTTTTAGAAATTACACACTCCTTATCTATAAATCTATATTTAGTTGATAATGATCAAATAAAAGAGAAATTCAGCATTTGGGAGAAGAATACCACCAATTTGAAAAACTAAACCCAGACAATGAAAGAGGGTGCTGAGATATTGTCTGAGAGAATTTATATTGTTGAAGGTATTAACTGGATTCTGTCAAAGAGTTATAATTGATTGACTGATAGTATGTCTCTCCAGGAAGGCAATATGCATGCTATAAAAATTATGTCCAAAGATGAGACATTATTTTTACTGGACAGACTTCTAACCTGGGAATCCTCAATGAGGGCATTAGAACAGAACACTGGATAGGACATCCAGACTCTACAAAAGACAGCGGTAAAAAAAAAATTGAAAAGATTGACAAATTTATCAAATTTGATGAGCAAAGACTAAAGGTATAAAGACAAAATTTAGCCTCATCAGTATGTACTAAACTCCAGGATAGTTTACCCAGAGTTTTACCTGCTTTTCTGATGATATCATCAGAAAGAACATCTGGCACCAAATACCCTAAGGTAGTCAAGGAATATACATGAGAGTCCATACGTATGACTGATCTAAGGGAAATTAAACAAACAATTGTATCTTATGGAATACATTCATACTTCATTGGGGAAATGGTCAAAATATGGGCTTCATGCAACAAAGCACTGCCATAATAAAGGATTCAGTTAATCTTAGCAGTCCTAGAAAATGGATCTCAGTTACTTTGGAAGTGTTAGTATAGAGAAGAAGCAAAAATTTTCAAGCCACAAGAAAAAGCATAAGGACCTGAGACTTCCAAAAATCAAATTCTGGGCGAGAGACTTGCTCTGATCTTCAGGATCAGGCTCTTTACAATGAACACATGCCCCTATGTACCACAGGAGCTTTAAATGCTTGGAAATGGATTCAGGAACTAAAAATAGAATTGAATCATAAATATGTATACCCTGAAGTGGGTGATATGCTCTATAAGTACCAGTGTCATTTTGTGAAGCAATCTTTGTGGGTAGGAAACACACCTTGAGGGAGGTTTAAAGGGGGAAGGGGAGAAGCAGGGAGCGGAGCAGAGAAAAATGTACAGCTTAATAAAAATCAATAAAAATATGCATATCTAATCACATATAACTTTGGTAACTTTATTAAATAAACAATTTGGAGAAAATATTTCATTATCTATCCCAATTAGGTGAGAAGAATAGGTAGTACCTAACTCACTTTCTATTCTAACTTGCATTACCAAAACTATCTCTTAATGTATCTGAACCATATATATATATATATATATATATATATATATATATATATATATATAATTTACAACTTTTTAGTAAATGTCTTTTCTGAATCTTGTGAGAAGGGAAAAAATAACTATAACTATCTCAACCTCATTTACCTCATAGAACAAAGAAGGAAGGAATATTAACTGAGTAAGCAAGAAGTGCAAATTTTCTTACCTGTTTTCTTCCTCCAATAAAGAGAAAGCTACCCTAATTATTTTCTTAGTTATACCCTTATGAAAATTTATCACAGTAATAACAACTTCACTTTCATATGTTAAAAATGTCACCTCTGCACATAGCATGTATGAATAGTATCAGCAAAAAGCTGTCTTGTGTTATGGACATTTGTCATTTCCTAACTTTTTTTGTGGTCTCTTGGATAGACACACCTCTGGGACACTCTCTTTTCTGCCTTTCAATATCGCTCATTTTGTGATCAATAAAAATGTAATGCTCCTTTCTTTTCCTTGTATTATTTTTTAATGTGTCCATATAACTGGATCTGACAGATAAGCAAATAAATTAATATAGAAAAGGTTGTATAGTTGAATTTCAATTTATTTTAATAAATATGGGTTGCTTTACGATTAGAGACTAAAACAGCCCCATGGGTCAGCCTTACAGACCAGGCAGTGGTTACACACACAATTAATCAAGTAGCCACACTAGTTGCCATAAAAGGTGGAAAGGGGGAAGTGTACCTTTAATCACAGTGGTCTTTAATACCAGCCCCAGAAAGGATTATAAAATGGGACCAGACAGCTCTCTGACACAGTTTCATTCTGAGATTCATGGAGGCAGGATCCCCATTTCAAACAGAAGTCAATGTAAAAGTCAATGGCTGGCTATTTTGCATCTCAGATCCTTAGATTAAACCCCAGTTTCTTTCTCTGAGCTCTTCTTAATCATTCTTTAAGGATGCAAAGTTTGAAAAGAGGTTTTTCTGAGTAATGGTTAATGTGATAAAGAACTGTTGAGTAAATATATGAAAATTTCAAAAATTAAATCAGATAAAATTTACAAAATAATAAAAGGTCACATGTCAATTTTTGATTGATTGTGCTTGAAAACTGTAATCCCTGTGATGTGTGTGTGACTGTAGGAGCTGATATGATTTAAGGGTGCATGTCTTTGAGTACCTAAAGATGATCACACTCAGACTACTCTATGGCTACTGTCCAAACTCTCTCAAAAATTCCATTATCATTAGTGAAAGCAGGTATTTCTTAGGACGCCACGTTTCATAGGAAAATTATAAAAGCTCAGCAACATACAATCCTAAGACAAAATATTAATGTGAGTTTATATATAAATTAAAAATTAAGCTTAAAATAATTTAATTATATTCAAAAATTGAAATATTAGGAATTTCAGAATACAGAAACAATTATTAGAATAATGTAGTGAATATATAGAGAATTATTTCAAACTTACCATACATCAGCATCCATTTAACTATAGCTTAACTTTTTATAAAACAAGAGTGTAAGTATCCCTGACTCTATACTGGATAGAAAAGTTCTTCCCATGGGAATATAGACAAACCCCTTACCTTGCTTCATCTCAAATACTGGAGTTTCCAGACCGGCTAGAATAAACAAGTGTATTAGACACACAATAGAAATATGTACCTGAAAAGAGAATTAGATTAGAACATACAGTATGCGTGGTTCTTGATGAAAGCAGAATGGAAACAATGGGGATGCTACATTTATAGCTCTCTGCTCTCAGACAGTCATTTGGTACAAGAAAAGAGAAACTTTTCAGAGTCCCATTAATACCTGAAAGCAAATGAATGATGTGCTTCATGCAGATTGGAGTCTCGCTGCACATACAAACCACTCTTAAGAAAGGATTCAATGCCCAGCAGTAGGTGGCACACATACAGGGCACTAAATGGCAATTTTGGAAATTCGTTGTCTTGTAATGATTGTCAGCAATTTATTATCCTCATATGTCCTTTGCCTATATGTAAAGGTTTATGGTTATGGGTGTTGTAAAGAGACACTTGTTTGTTTCCTGGTTGCCCAGCCCCAAAATAATCACACAGAAACTTTATTATTTAAATCACTGCTTGGACCATTAGTTTCTTATTGGCTAACTCTTACATATTAATTTAACCCATCTCCATTAATCTGTGAAACACCACAAGGTCATAGTCTAACAGCAAAGTTTCAGTGTGTCTGTTTCCAACAGTAGCTCCATGGTTCTAACTCAGCCTCCATTCTCTCAGCATTCAGTTTAGTTTTCCCCTGCCTACCTCTGTTCCATCCTATCAGGTCAAGCCAGTTTCTTTATTAACCAATGGTATTCACAGCATACAGAGGGGAAAGCCACATCATTTATGTATTTGTGGCATTTATATTTGCATGAACATATGTGTATTTCCATTTATGTGCTTTTCCTGCTTTCTTTGGTTATATTTCTTATATTTGTTTCTTTTGTCCTCTTCTGGTATTTTCATTTTTTATTATTATTGTATTATACTATTATTATCATTACTATTATTATTACATACCTGGGTATATTCAATTAAGAGGAAGAAAGAAATGAAGAGCACGTGTGCGAGAGAGAAATAGAGAGCAAGAGACAGAGAGATGGATAGACAGAAAGTGTATAGATTTGGGCAGGTGACAATGTGGGAAATATCTTAAAGGTGTTGGAGGACAGGGAACCATAGTCATTATCTATTGTATGAAACAAAATCTATCTTTAATGAAAAGACCATATGCAAATAAAACAGTGTCAGCAAATATTTCAGCATTCAGCTATGAGCTCTCAGAGTTTCATATTGTCATATAAGAGACTTACTTAAAGAAAATTATCTACACAGTAGACCCATGAAGGGTGTGTAAAGAGCAGCAGGTCTCCTTCTTGGTTAGATACTGATGGCTGAGATGAATCACATGCATTGCAGATAAAGCCAAAATCCAAAGCTGAATGACGATGATGTATCTTAAAGGGGATACAGCGGCTTAGGAAGCAGGAAGACATTTCCTGCACAGAAAAAAGGAGCAGGTGACTCAGTCAGCATGTGGGAAATCTTAGCAAGTACCTGGCTATGCTGGATGTCAATTGGCTCTGCCTCCCTGCAGGTTTCAGGAGCAATCCGCCTTCATTGACTAGTAGGTTATAGTCAGGTCCTGGCTAGAACCAGGATCCAGCTGAGAGCTGGACTCTAGCCAGGAGCCTGACTGACAAAACCCCTCTGTGAAGGGACTGATATTATCTCCATTTGCCTCGGATTGGCTAAGAGAATGGATTTGAGCCAATCACAAGGCAGATCTCAAAGCTACCAATGGAAATCAAGGGCCTGCTGTAACTATGGAGATTTCATCTGAGCTGCTGTTTCATGTATCTCTCCCCCTCCCTGTTGTTACCACAGAAACAGGGAAACTGAAACTAGAAAGACAGAAAAAATGTAATTTAACATGAAATGTGGATGCAATTGATAACAGAGGAAATCAATCAGAGTTGTCTGGAGCATGAGCATGTACCTAGATCCGTGGTAATAGATCCTGGCTTCCTATAAGAAAGCCTGCATTTCTGTGTGAGCCCCTCTGAATGTGACTCTGAAGAGGCAAGGGTAGTTTGCTACTGAATATTTGTTATCTGCGTGTGTCAATATTTATTACTGTTATGAATGTACACATGAGCCATCACATGATATTGGAACTATTAGAGTGACCTAGAAAAGGTGATTAGATTAAAGAAAAAAATGGTGAGTTCTACTCCTGGTCAAGCAATGTACCCTATCAGTATGAAAGATCTTGAAGTGTCAGAATAGTAAAGAAATAATTTAAGATGTATTATGAAAAAAAACTTCAAAATATCTCTGCATGTATATGTGTATATGTGTGCTTGTCCCCAAGTTTGTGTGTCCAAAATACACCCCATTCAAGATATCTCTTCCTTTATTGTCTCCATTCATCCCATCCAAAACTCACTAAACCTGTATCCTCATATTCCCATACCTCCATTCCCCACCAATCCCAGTTTACTCAAGAGATCTCTTCTATTTCACCTTTCCAGGGAATGTCCCTGTATCTCTTTGGCCCCTCGTTATTTAGCTTCTCTGAGTCTATGGATACCCTGGTTATCCTTTAATTACACCTAATATCCACTTACGAGTGAGAACTTATTGTGAGGTAGGAAGTTGCCTTGAATGCATTGGCAAAGGAGACAATGTCCAAATATGACCAGAGTAGCACACAAACTGAGATTAACAATTAATAGGTGTGTCCTCCTGAAAATGAAAATCTTCTGTAAGGCAAAGAATACTATCAGTGTGCTTACTAGGGTCCCTGATGGAATTCAGGCACACGCATGATAAAGTTCAACCTTCCAAGCTCTTCTCTGCCATGACATTTAGCATCTCCACTGAAGAGGCCAAACTACCACAATAATCATTTGCTATGTTTCTAAATAGACAATTTTAGAAGCCTTTTCAAACATTTAAATTCAGGAGATTCTTTGGCGAATAAGTGAATGAAACACACTTGGTCCAGGAAACATCCTCCAAGAAGCAAATGCTTAATTAACATAATAATTGCTTCAAATCAGAGAAAATGCTGTGTTCCAATACATAGGAAAGACCATGGCAAAAGAATGAGCAATGCAAGGTTCATCTCTTCATTTATTACTTAAGTCATCTATAGTTGAAAATGAAGTAAGGAAGTCGTAATATATCCTGATTCTTGATATAACTTGAGGTCTGACTAAAGTGAGCATTCCAGTAACTGGTCACAGGTACAGACAGACTACTAGAGCTATTTTCTAATGTTAAATCTTCTGTCACAAATATATGATTCCATCATCAGCTAGCAACTTTTCTTAACAATGAATAACAGTTATTAATAAAATATGAAATAATGAATTCATCACTTGTTTTGATTATATTTTTTTTGGATGGGAAAATTGCCAGACAAGATTTTGTTGTGTAGCCTTGGCTGTTCTGGAACTCATTCTGTACATAAGACTGGCCTTCAAATCATAGATCTGCATACCTCTGTCTCCCAAGTGCTGGAATTAAAGGTATGAGACTTCACAGCCCAGCCATAATAAATTTTTAGCCTTTCATTTACTATATAATTATATAATCTATCAGTAAGTATAATACCTTGATTAAATGATAGAAAATACAGTAAAGTATATGTTCTCTAATATAAACCCCTCTCCGTGAAAAGTTTTCCATCACCATGTCTTCCTCCTCCCCACAGTGCATACTTTGTACTGACCTCATGGTTTGATGGTTTGAAGTTCTTTAGAACTTATACATGATCCACAGCATATACCTATCTGAGCCCGAAAAGTCTGACTGCAGGTTGTCACAATAATGGAGTCTCTGAAAGGACTTGCTGGAATGTTTATAAGCAAGCCCAAGTATGAATTCATAAAATTCAAACTGAGTCTGTCCTCTCCCAAACAGATCATCACATGGAAAAAACAAACAAAACACCAGAACAAGTGGTATAAACCCTTTTTAGAATTACCTGATTTATCAGAGATCCCATGCATTTCCATTGTAGTAGAAGCTGTTGCCCCTCCATTCAGCATACCTGACTATTTTGTAAGTCCAGGTTCTGCACATCAACCTCTTCCCAGGATTCCTTTTCACAGAAGAGAGGAATAACATATTACTATGGTAGCATAATTATTCACAACAAAGATAATTGTAAACAGAGATTGCATATCAGTTCCCGGCTGCCCAGAACTGAAATTATTACACAAAACTACATCAATTGCAATAGTGCTTGGCCAATGATTTTAGCATATTCTTTTTTAATTAATTTATTTATTTATTTATTAAAAATTTCCACCTCCTCCCCGCCTCCCTTTTCCTTACCCTCCCCGCCTCCCTTTTCCCTACCCTACCCTCCTCCCTTTTACCTACCCCTCTCCACCTCCCCCTCCCTCAATAGTCCTAAGAGCAGTCAGAGTTCCCTGTCCCATGGGAAGTCCAGGGTCCTCCCTCCTCCATCCAGGTATATTAGGTGAGCATCTAAACAAACCAGGCTCCCACAAAGTCAGTCCATGCAGTAGAATCAAAACTCAGTGCCATTGTCCTTGGCTTCTCAGTCAGCCCTTATTGACAGCCACATTCAGAGGGTCCATTTGATCACATGCTCCATCACTATCAGTCCAGCTGGCCTTGATGAGCTCCCATTAGATCAGCTCCACCGTCTCAGTGGGTGGATGCACCCCTCGTGGTCCTGACTTCCTAGCTCATGTTCTCCCTCCTTCTGCTCATCATTTGGACTTTGGGAGCTCAGTCCAGTGCTCCAATGTGGGTCTCTGTCTCTATCTCCATCCATTACCAGATGAAGGTTCTATGGGATTTTAGCATATTCTTAGATGTAGCTCTTACATCTTAAATTAACCCGCTCATTTCTATTATTTTGTATTTTCCCACAAGGCTCATGGTTACCATTAAGGTTCCAGGCCATTTGTCTCCTTTGGGAGCTACATAACATCTCTCTGAATCCCCCTTCTCTCTCTCTCTCTCTCTCTCTCTCTCTCTCTCTCTC